CCCCCCCCCGGTTAACATATAAAAATATGTTTTCATATGTTAACCTTTCGTGTCTTCAGTTTTTCAAATCAATGGAGCAAACTATATACTGCAATGACTCAGTTCTTCAAATTAATTCAAGCATTTTGTGAGTCATAGAAACTGTCAATCCGTTGCATACTGTTTTCCGACTTCATAGGATCCAATGAATAACTTCCCTCCACCCATCATGCTTTATTATACTAATTTCTTGTCTAACTTCAATCTCAACACAATGGTAGGAGTGAAAGCTGACTCAAGTCCAAAAACCACAGCAGCCAAAGTGTATAGCGTGGGACGGGGAGCGGGGTTATACTTAACCTAACTCTTCCCATGGCCGCTCTCACAACACTGTGAACATCTTCAGAAAAGTTCCTGTCCTCTATTATTTACAAAAAGCAGCCATGTACCTTTTCTCTGAAGAACCTTACACCAGGAGAAACGATAAGAATATTTGCAATCAACAGATGAAATGATGAAATAAACCACAATAATAATATCTCTTGTATGAAGATCTCCCATCAATACTGTTCCTTTAGAATTATCTTAGAAAATCATCACTTGTGATTTATTATTCCTCCTCCAACTCCTTTCCTGTGCATTTCATTGTAAAAATGTCTTTGTTTCATTGTAAAAATGTCTTTCAGTGTTTCAGTGAGGAAGAAAGGCGATACATACCACTCCAGCAATCAAATAAAGATTATGAAGGAGCCCGCTTGTTACACAATTACCTCTCTCTAGTGATTTTTATACTACTATTAAAAACAATACCCTTAAAAAAAAAAGGAAAGAAAAAGGAGCAGGAGGGTGGAGGGTGTGAGAGTGTTTTTTCTGGTTTCGCTAATAAAAAAAAGCAAGCTGTTTCTATTTAATCTGAGGTTTGGTAGCAATGGGCTAAGAACAACCAGAACTTACTGCCTTCTACCTAGATGTACAGGAGAATCAAGTCTATTTCCAAAGAAATAGAAATGAATTTCAAAGGAAGAAATAGTATATGGCTATTTCAGTTCTCAGTTCAGTAGCTCAGCACTCAACACCACATATGACATCATATTTATGAGTGCTTAAATGTCCGTAAATTGTATAAAACCAATACCTTTGTAATTTATGAATCTATAATTCATTTTTTCACTGTCTGCTCTATATTTCACATTCTGAAGACTGAAATTATATGTAGCAAGTGGCTCTATATGAGAAAAGGGTTGTTATTGTTGCATCAAATTTACTCCATGATAACAAATTAGTGTCTTCTACTGGTGCTGCATTTGCAGGCCTCAAACAAACAAAAAAAACTCCACAGAAATGAGACAGAAGAGCAAAAACTCTAGAGCAGCAATTATGTTTTCAAAATCAGTTGATTTAACCAGGTCAGAAAGTCAGGTGGGAAGAGTTGTAACAGAATTCATTATTCTATGAGATGTGTTTATCCGGACATTCGTATCCCCATTGTTCTTTCTTAGACCACTTTGAAAATTCATCTCTCTAAATGATGCGTGCCAAAGAACTGAAAATAATGAAATCAGAAAAAAAAATTCTGCAGTAATTGGGTTGAAATGTAATTGTGTAGTACATGGGTTCCTCCCAGCCCACTTTTGTTTGCAAAAAACATGAAACAAGTGTCCAAGGACCACTCTTTCAGGCTGAGTGCTGAGATTTAACACCAGCTAACCCAAGTTAACTTTTTACTAGAAGAGTATGGGCCAAAGCGAGCAAAATTTTTTTGCTTAAAAAATGATTTCTGTTTTACGCTCTTCCATTTCCTATCTTGAGCGGAAGCTCCCAGCACATACACAGGGTGCAGCTCCCTTCCTCATTCAATGGCTTGGTATCTCCACCCCATTTAGTGCCATTTTCTTCCCAACAGCTGTTGCTGCCTTCATGTTTTATTTTGTATTGTCAAGACAGTAGGCACAGACTCCATTGAGTCCCCCACCCACAGCTGGAGGGCGTACTACTTCTCTCCAAGAAGGGACTCCCAGCCTAAGCTCAACGGGCATAAAGAGCCAGATGTTCAAAGTGCAAAATATTTGGAATCGCCTTGCCAGTTTGGGGATCTCACTGATGACGTCTCTAAAGGTGTTGAGAAGTATTTTGATCCAAGAGTATCTATTCTATAGAACTAATATCAGCAGGAGTATCACATCAAAATACAGCCTCTTTTGGAGTACTGCATACAACAGACGAACGGCAGAATTTGTCTGGGAGGTATTATCTTTTTAATTTTACCATCTTCTGAAGTAGAGCTGTGTAAAATTCATTTTGCTAGACAGAAAAATACATTAAAACACATGGAAAAATATAGGTAAAACACAGTATTACCAATAAACATTTCCTTTTTACTTGGAATCAAACCCAGAAAAACATATAGATCTGAATTAATGGAGCAGTGCATGGCAGACAAATTATGAGTATTATTTCAGAGACTCAAAGTGGCAGTTTTTTTCACAATATACTGTCAGACTGCATAGATTGTGTAACACCAGCTTTCTAGTAAAGATCATTTCAATTATTCTCATCTCATTGGCAGACTCTCATCTAAAACTGTATACTCAGGGTCTAAAAATGCATTGCACTGAAAAGAAAACACATTGATTATAAAAGAAGCTCAACCAAATTCAAACATGATGTTTGGAAAGACAACAGCTTTGCAATGCCGGTATCATTACTTGTAGTATACAGGAAACAGTTAGTGACAGTTTCATGCACTGGCTTGGGTTTTATCTTCTCCTTCTTCTCCTCTCTCCACCCTCCCACCCCTGGTCTCCCCCCTTGGCTCGTTACACAAAGCAGCTCAACGACATGACGCAATAATGATTGTTTAGCACCCAGCATGCTTTGGGAGACTAGAGCATTGCAAAGAAAAATCACTGAGAAAAAAAAAAATTGAAAGGTCCTGGTGGAAAAATAAATAAAAAAAGAAACAAGTGCACATAACATCAATGCCACCTCTGAGAAAAATCATCACTACACGAAGATACAGTATACATAATACAGTATAACATGCACTCTCCAATGATAAGCTAGAAGATCCAGAGTAAGTAAAGACTTCATACTTGTGCGGTTTTTTGTGCAAAATTCTGAAAGACCATGACAAAAATCACAGACTGAAAAAAGTTTTGAGATTGCCAGACAAGCCGTGGCATTCGATAACCACTCCAATGAACAGATCGTTAGCCTGCAGCTATATTCACATTAAATGAACAGGTTTAAAGTTTTGTGTTGCTCATCATGATAAAATATGAGGCCGTAGAGGCAGTTTGGAAGGAAATAAAGAGCGTTGCTTGTGAGGGGCCAGCCACGTTGGTGCTCTGCAGGAAGTGCCACACTTCGATATGCTCTGTCATCATTAGCATTTTTATTGGCTACATGAAGAAGGAGAAATTATATAAACTTAAAGAGAGATTCTATTTGCAGAAAAAAACATGCACTAGTAACTGAGCGTGGCCAGGTCAAAACTTGAGCTTTTTCTGAGACGCAAACCACAACACTTAAAAATCTATTTAAAAGAAACCAAGATTTTTCTTTGGGGGTGTGTGTGTTAAAATTAAACGTAATTTACTCATCAGATATACTCTGAGTATGACTGAGGAGTGGTATTCACAGCATTTTTATTTTCTCCTGAATGCCACTGAAAACAGGATCAAGAGCCGTGTTTGGATACCACACAGCAACCTTATTGTGTGCTTTCAGGTCATTAAGAAAAATAAGCTCCACAAAGACAGGTAGAGTGAGTTGGTAAAAAGTTTAAATCTGTGATTGTCATGTGTCTGATCTCGTCCAGGAGAGCATGGCTTTACCATTCGCAATCATTTGCACAAAGAAAACAAAGAAAGGGCAAATGATACAGTACTGTACCTCCATGGTCTGAGACTGGTGCATGGCTTTGATTGCATTCTGTGCCATTGCCCTTGTAGAAAATGTGACAAACGCACAGCCTGTGGGAACAAGGGGACAGGGAGCAGGAAAGACAAAAAACAACAAGACAAAAGGGTTGGACGCTTGTTAAACCAACACAGTCTACGAGAACGGCCACAAGACGACACTGTTCTCAGTAGTACATAAAAATAAACAACTTCTCTAGTTTATTTATCGACAGTGCTGACTTGCTAATCTGACCATAGATGAAAGAAAAAAAATTATGTGGGGATGGGTGAGGAGAAAGGTTTTTTCCCTTTAATTTGTTTTGTGGGGTTTTTTTGGTTGGTTTTTTTTGGTTTTTTTGGTTTTTTTTTTGTAGCCACAGGGTTTGAAATAAGTAAGGCTTTTATGTAGAGTTTGGATTGCATAGTTAGTCTATTCAGGCCATGCATTAACAATTGCTTGCTATGGCTTTTGTGTAGGTAAATTGTGGATACTGAATAAGTGACTGGCATCACTGGCAGCTGAACTGGAAATTTAATAAAGGAGTCCATAATGTCACATATTTCCGTGATGCGCCAAGAACAACCATACAAATAAGGATGAGAAAAACTCCATTGTGTAGCCTGTGCGTAAATGTGAAAAGACTCAGACAAAATTCAGTAATGTAGGTGGAATCTCAACATTTAAGAAAATAACATATTAAAAATAAAAATCTTTATGATTTTTGTTTCTCCAAGTCCTAGGTACAAGTATAATTCTTTGATCTATGAAACCTACTACCAACTTGAACAATTCTGAAGCTACGTGCATGAATAACTAAAAAAATCACTTTTCTCCCTCCTCAGCCTTTTAAATTGTAATGAAAAGCCAGTAGGCTAATGCCTGGACTATTTTTCCACCCTTTTACTATTGTCAGTCATACCTACACTGGGCATGGTACAGGTGAACTTTTTCAGTGCATGATTCACTGCCCTTTTGACTAATAAAAACATTGCCTTCTGAGATTTACATTTTATTCTTCATGCACCCTTGGGCATCTTAAAGAAAAAGACTGTGAAATTAATGCAGATTCAGGCTGATTTCGTAATAATACCACGGCACACTAAAAGCTTAGCTAAAGCAACACAGACTTATTTCACTTGTGATCTCTAATGACTTTAAAAGTGCATTGATTTTCAGCTCCCTTAGCCTTGCACAGTTTGAACTTAGGTTTCAGAGAATAATTTAGTGTTCCACTCAATTTCCTCAAAACATTATTATTATTACTACTTAAAAGATTTCCAAATGAAGCAAATCTAAGCACTGAGAGGCTAAAGCATATTGTCATTTTAGAGCTAATGCATGAAAGCTACATTCTGGCATCAAAAATACAATATTGTTGCCCCTGTGGCCAATGGGCAAAATAAACCATTTTGCAATCCAACAAGCAACAGATTGTTTGGTTTATGCGAATCAATTGGAGGCATAAAATACCTTTTCTTTCTTGCTCCATGTGTACCTGGTAAGATTATCAAGTCAAGACTGTATTCACATTTTAATCAAACAACAGTAAGAGAAAGCAATGCCTGATCATTACCCAAAAGCACTACATCTAGTCATGAAAATAAAGTCAATGCATTTTTGCATCATGCGGTATTTTTTTTTTTTTCTGTTTAATGTAAAAGCCCTTGATACAAGAGAACCTAAGCTGGTTTATATACCTCTGACTGTTAAGTGAACATCATAAAATCAGAAGTCAGAATTCTTTTACACAAACTTACAAACTTCATGGCAGTGTCACGATTCTCTACATACTTCTCAGGTAACACAACAGCTGACGATGTCTTACTGCTGTTTAGCCACACTATATGTAGCTATACCATTCTTACTTAACGACAAATTTCTGTCAAAGAAAGTGATGTAACAAAACAGCTTTCTGTACGGCAATCTAGACAAAATGTGCAGTAGAAGGGTAAATAAACTACAGTACCTCCGCTAGATTCCATATTGCTGCTGTGCACTAAAATTAAAGAGGCCCAAATTTACCATCAGTCTCAAAGTAATCTCTCTCAAAAACATTTCTGTTATTATCATTAACAGAGGAAATAACACCAAGGGTTTTCATTTCTCGTCTTGCAAATTCAATGGGGGATGAGCACAAATAGAGATATACTGGAGGGCAGGCAAGAAACCCCATACAGAGCCTTGAATAATATTGGTTATAATGGTCAAGAAACCGCTTCATTCACTTCTTTCGCTCTCATTATCCAGGAGTGTGTACCATAGTGACAATTACTGAATGGAGGTTTAGAATGCATAAGCAGCATGTAAAATGTCAACAAAAATCAATAAGACACAGTTTATGCATTTATCACAATTTCTACCCAGCAGTACTGCTGTAAGTAACTTACTGAGAGATGTTGCAATTAGCAGGTCTCAAAAGAAATGTGAATCAGCAGAGAAATAAAGCTGTGCTCCTCTCAAGATAAAGCAGACTCTCTCTTCTCTCCCTTAAGCTTTTTCTCTTTTTAACCACAAAGCTCAGCTGTTGGGGACATTCAGCGCCCAACACTGCCGCAAAACCTCCCTCCTCATTCCTCAGCCCAAATCCATTTGCGTGGATCCCGTTGCCTTTGTCGGGGAGTGAAAAGACCTTCGTAGCAGATCTCTGTAAAGTGCCATATAGCGAGCTACCAATTTAAAAGAAACTTGTTCTCCGGGCAAGGGGAATGCCTGATGAATGAGGTTATGCGGCTTGAATATGAGCGTTTGGAAAGAGCATTCCACAGAGAAGACGGGACTGCATTTTAATTATGCTTTGCCAGCCAGAGGCTACAAGGTTAGGTCCCCTTGTTATCTCCAGTCGGCAGGCCATTTCCCACCGATGGACAGTGGCCATTTGCACAGTAAATACCCAATTTGCCTCAATAACCAAGGTAAAAATTCAGTAGACAACCTTATTTCTAAATTATTTGATAACCTAGACCTGCAGTTGTTACCATCAAGCACCCCAGTTAAATGCTAGCTAATTTAACCATCTTTCCAGACATTGCTACATGTATTCACGTTCAAGGGTTATTTTGTCAGCTGGACCTGGACACACACACACAAAATTTGTATATTTATTACGCGTGCACATATATTTTATTATATGTGAAACATGAGATCCTATACATTTTGTTGTCTGTGAACCATGGGATCCTTTCCTTCATGACCAGACTGCTGCACCAGAGGGGAGCTAAGCCTATGTCACAGGATTCAGTCCACTTAATCACTGAGCTTGCATATATAATTTAGGTATTCAGAAAAGCTGCTCTTCTGAGATGCTTATATTCTCTGCCACAGTCAATGGCAGTACCTTTATTTTCCTATATGGGGTACATGTGCACTTTAGGAGGATGGTTTCATTGGGCACCTAGAATTTAATCAGAAGTTGGTGCCTAAGGACACTGGATTTCACTTGTTTAAGCCAGATGAGCTCTGCCTGGACCATCCCGTACTCTTGCTGCAGCAGTTTCTGAGGGGTTGGGAAAACCCTTTTCAGCATACTCTCACTCACTATATCTCACGGATACAGGTGGTCTTTTGGGAACATACTGTCAGCTTTAGGACTGTAAATCACAATTATAAGAGGACAAGACTAATCAGATTTCATGCCTCATGGTGCAAGGAAATAAGAAAGATTTCCGTGGCCTCTTACTTCATCCTATGAAACGCTGCATTGATTGTAGTGCTGTGGGCCGAGGTCTTCCGGAACAATTGCTACAAGCAAACTATTTCTGTTCTACCATACTGAGTCCTGATACTTTGATTACTCCCTTCTTACTGGGGCTGTGGAGCTCTCTGGGACAGAAAACGTGGAGAGGGGGATATTTCTATAGCTAATGCCTTGAAATTACTTTGTTTTGTACTACCAGCTATCTAACCACCAAAAAAAAAAAAAAAAAAAAAAAAAAAATTCCTTTTGTAAATACAGCCAACCTGCAATTATTTATCACCTCTGGTTTCAAAATGTCAGGGATCACTAGCAGAAACAAAAGGGGAGGGAGAAAGGAGGTCTAAGAGTTTTAGTTGCTTCTCCAAGGCTGCCTTCTCACCCTCTACACCAGGTAAATGATTGACTGGGGAAAGGCTGCTCGAAGTAATTTCCTCCTGCAGGCAGAATCAGAGGGAGGCACCCAGCCCTGTCACAGAGGAGATTTTGGAGCACATTATCGCATTTGCCAGCTCAGCTGAGAGAACATCTAAACTCACAGGGTTGGTCCTTACCCCCCTTCCACCCCAAACTGAAAAAGAATTTTGAAGAGGCTGCAAAATGAGAAAAGCTTCCTCCTTGACCCATGCGGTTCCAAACCTAGGGCTCACTGCTCGAGCGACTGAATTATTTGAAATATTTAAAAAAGCTCAGCACTGCCCTATTTCAGCTCCTACTTCACTTGATTCTTCTCATCTCAGGCTTTCATAGACTGTTTTGAAACGTTCAGTCAGCAGTTCATGCACAGTCTAACATAACATCAATACTTGTGAGCTACAAGTGAAGTAGAACATTTTTAAGTATGGAGGCCTCAAGGTAAGGGGTCTGATTTCATACTTATAGAAGAAACCTCCCACATAAAGCTACTGTGGTCTACTGGAGAATTTAAAGCCCCCAAACCCTCAATGAAGCCAAAGGGAGATGCAAAACCCCTAGACATTTTTGAATCAGGCCTAGAGTTAAAAATGGAAGTTTAAAAACCATGGCTTTAAAGTTCTGGAGATGAAAGGAAGGCAGATGCAATAAATTTAAAAAAAAAAATATATAATGACCCCTCTGACACAGAAGAAGGCTCAAGAGATTTTCAAAGTCATGCGAGCAATCGCAGTACTACATATGGCGGCTGCGCAGCTGGTGGTGTAATGGTTGCGCTACAGCTTCCTAGTTCACCGTAAACAAGGTTTTTCTTCACTTTCTGTGAAGAAACAATAGTGAAAAGCTGCCAAAATACTCCTGCAAGAAGTATTTGGGATCCTCTGAGATGAAAGCCTCTATTTAAAGAAAAGGCTTGAATGAAAAGCTATGGAAATTGAAGCATGACAAAAATAAGCTCTAGTTGTG